TGTAAGGGTATTGATGTCTCTATCAGAACAAAGTAAATTTGTATCGTCTGCAAATATGACAGATTTAAATACATTACTGACTGAAATAAGATCATTTATATATATATTAAAAAGGAGAGGACCCAATATCGATCCCTGAGGGATGCCACACGTGATTGTATTCAGTTTAGAGCTTTCAAAGTTAAAATATGTAAATTGATTTCTATTAGTCAAGTAGCTTTCAAACCAAATATGCCTTACCTTTGAATCCATAAAATTTGAGTTTTGAGAGGAGAATAACATGATCAACGGTATCAAAAGCCTTACTAAGATCTAAAAATATTCCAATATTAAATTGTTTAGTATCCATTGCTTTTCTTAAGTTTTCGAGAAAAGTGAGAATAGCTAGACAAGTGGATCTGTTTCTTCTGAAGCCAAATTGTTCTTTACATAAAATTTTGAATTTTTCAATAAAATCAATTGCTCTATTGTACATAATTTTTTCAAATACTTTAGAAAATACGGATAATAATGATATAGGACGATAGTTACTGAATAGCATAGGATCATTCTTTTTGAAAATTGGGACAATTTTTGCGATTTTCAATGAGTCAGGAAATATGCCAGTTGATAAAGAAAGGTTAGTTAGAAAAAGTAATGGTGGTGTTAAAGTGTCACAGGTATTTTTTACTGTTATTGGTTTAATTTGATCATGACCTGCTGATGAATCTTTTGAATTTTTCAAAATTTGATTTACCTCTTCTGATGTCACTTTTTTCAGATATATACTTTGTTCAAAATTGTCAGTTAGCTGTTTAAGGAAAAATGTCGGGGTTTTATTTGATACAGGAATTTGGATTGCTAAATTTGGACCTATTTCGGTAAAGTAATTATTGAAGTGATTGGCAATTTCTTTGGGATCTGTGATTTTATTTTTATTGTGAATAAAGTGTTTTCTCTTTTTTCCAGGTTGTTTTTGTCTTCTAAGAATTTCATTTATAGTTTTCCATGTATCTTTTAGATTTCCAGCTAATTTTTGAAATTTATTTTTGTAATAAAGACGTTCAGCATTACGAATAAGTTGTCTTAAGATCCTTTTGAATGATTTATATTCAGTTAAATTAATATTTGTTGGGTATTTCAAGTATTTGATATAAAGTTTATTTTTTCTTTTAATTGAGTTGAAAATTGCATTGGACAACCATGGTTTGGAATTGTTAAATTGATATCTCAGTATTTTACTTTTTAAGGGAAAACATTCATTGTACACAGTCATTATTTTTTGGTAAAAGATTTCATAACCTTCATTAACATCTGTACATTTATAAAGATTGTCAAAATCTTTAATCCTTCCAAACTGAAATTTTGGACAGATCGTATTTTGGATACAAAGAACAATGGAACAAATCAATAGACCTGGTACACGGATAAGCTTTTTGAGACTAAAACTGATTGACAGATGCTATCAACTAATACAGCTCGCACAATAACGCTATGAAGGTCTCATTGCGCAGCTCTGATATTGGATTTCTTACATGCATTTTTGAATTTGGCAATGCAATGCAAAGGCTTTGGCAATTGACACTTAGGTCATATATTGGCCATAAATCATAGAAACATATATTTAGTGTTCTATACTGTAAGCAATCATAGATACGATGCCACATTATAGATCACTAAATGAATTGCTCTAGTTAGTTTAGTTTAAAAAAAAAGTTTAAAATAGTTTATTTTTGTGTCACTGACATTACAATATACATATAAAATACATAATAAAAACAACATTTTGTAACATCACCAGCCGGTGCCGACTTATGAGACACAGTATACATTATATCTGAGTGTCACCCATTACTACCCCCAATGGGCAGCTTGGGTCAACACTCATAAAGACAGAGACAAAAAATGTCCCTGGTAAAAATTTATACATGATTAAAAACCAATGATATAAATTCAGTCTGATTAATCAGTTTGGCATAAATAAATAAGCAGTTCATGGAATGATATTGTCAATCATTATATTAAATACATATATTGCACTAAATGAGAGTAGCATGTTGCATATGGTCAAAAATTACAATATTAAATACAAATATCGCACTAAATGTGAATTGTATCATGCATATGGTCGAAGACTGTTATAACAATAAATTCATATATTGCACTTAATGTAAGTAGCATGTTGCACTATGGTCAAATATTACAATAAATATAAACATTGCACTAAATGTGAAATACACAATGCATCGGTTGAAGACAAATATTACAATAAATACATGTATTGCACTAAATGTGAGATGCATATTGCATGATAAATACATATATTGCACTAAATGTAAGTAGTATATTGCATATGGTCAAATATTACAATTAATATGAATTTTGCACTAAATGTGAAATACACAATGCATATGTTTGAAGACAAATATTACAATAAATGCATATATTGCACTAAATGTGAGATGCATATTGAATAATAAATACATATATTGGCATATTGCACTAAATGTGATTTGCATGAGCAGTGAATAAATAAAAAAGAGCCCCATAGATAATATACACCTCTGCAGTAGTGAGTTGAGACCATCTTCCCCAAGGTTATTGTTATTGTATATACATCAATTATATTTAATTTATAGTAATAGATAAATACAATTACAACTTAATGTACAGAATACCAGAAATATAGCATTACTCACCAAGTGAACCCATCTTGCAATTCACGAAGTCACGAATTAAATAAATATATAAAAGCTGTTGTTGACTCAGAGTAAGGTGCATATTACTCATTTTCCAGAAACAACAAACGCATAATTAAAACTTAAAGGCTCTGCACATGTTGATGATATGTACTGTATATATTATCTACATTATCTTGGAATGGCTTCACTTTGGTTTTTCAATCTCTCTGAATACATTAAAATTCCCTATGAGAGGATTTTGACGTGGAAATTACATGTAGTTTTTAACCATTTCATCACCAGGGGGTATTTCATGGTCCATTTGCTCTAATGAATGATGATTTAGGCCTCCCGAAAAGTGTACTGGATGGCAATGATGATATTGGAAGGCGTTAATATACAAAACATCACCTAACATTTGTTACAGACGTCGAACGACACCACAGAAAACCGTCCACAAAAAGTGAGAGACCATATAACAATATTAAAAGCATACCTCAAGCAGATATCACAAGATAAAGTTAATAACACCTACTAATATTTTATCGCCCATGGGCATTTAAATGGTGGATTTTGTTGGGAGTATCTCAAGTATGCAATATTACAAAGGGCCTTTAAGGAAACTGCAAGTTACTAATTGACATAAAAATGTGTTCGTGATAAATGAAGCAATATAAATTCAAATTATCATTGTCTCTGCTTTTTATAAAGGTTTGTGGTCTGTTGATATTAGTTGACATTTGTATATATGGAAATATAGAAATTTATCCTCACATTTATCGACGTTAAAATGTTTGTGGTTTGATGAATTTGTTGGCAATTTTCTCATTTGGAAATACAAAAATTTAACTTGAATTTATAGAATCGTCATTTACACCTATAAGTACCAAATGACAAACAAATGATCTTTTCTCCAGAAACACTTTGTCCGCGTATCAAAAATGCTATCTTACAGTTTTGAATGGAACAAATCGAATAGTTTGAATATAACTTTGAGATTTTTAATTTAGCTTTTTATTTCTGATATACAGGATGACCCCAAAAAGCAACCCTCCATTTCTTGAATAAGTTTCTTAAATGGAGGTTGGTATATCTTAAATTTGGCACACAAAGCATTCATTCAATGTGGGATCCTCTAGGAACTTACATCGGTATTGATAGAGTTATAGTCGTTCCAAAATTTGGGTCAACCTTATTTAAATTTCCCACCGTTTTTCAGATAAGTCATTCGTCGACTCGTTTGAAGCGGTTGAGTCTTGGTTCTTTTATTTATTGTCTTGCAATGCAGAGTCCAAAGTCTTGTTTTTTTAAACTATAGTAAAAGTTTCTTGACCAAATAAGAAATTTAATTTTTCATGACCACATATATCTTATTTTCCTTTTGTAATATAAATCTATGACATAATTGCATGTACATGTTACCAATGTTGCTTAGTTTTCGTCCACTTTAACTACGTACAGGCAGAACGAAATCTTCAGAGGGTGACAAAATTGCAAGTAACATGTACAATGGACATACCAAGATCTCAAATACAATATTTCCCAAAAGATCCATGATATGTTATAAATTGGTGAAGTTACTAAAGGCACCATACATGCAAATTGCAGAAATGTTAAAGTTAGTTTTTTGGTCAAAGTAGGTTGTAAAATCACTAAAGATAAGTCATGAATCTTATATCATAAATGTGTTTTGAATCAACTTGTTTACCTGAAAATAAAATGTGGTCACAGCTTTTCTGAACATGCAGATGTACCCGAATGGTGTCTTATTCATAATGTAATAAATGAAATCATTGTGGTATGTATGTGGAGTCTATTTCCCTTATAATAATACATTTACTTTAGTACATGGATTCTCTCCTAATATTATTTCCTTATAAATATCCAAACTTTAATCAAAAGCAGTTTCAAAATTATTGTATATTGTATTTCACCTAAAATATCGTATATGGTATAAGAGCTGTGAAAAATATTGTATATGGTATAAAAGGGGTGAAAAAATATTGTATATGGTATAAGAGAGCTGAAAAATATTGTATATGCATTTCCAAGACCCTCTATACACCCCCCACATATAGTTTACATGCTTCTATAAAGAGTTCAGTAAAAGCTTTCAAGTAGAACACCTCTCTAAGTGTTACATCTCTGTAATGGAAACATTATTAACAGTACCATGGCTGATTGACTTAATGTTGAATAAACCCCTTAACTGGAACACCTCCCATGAGGAATACTTTTTAGAGGTGCCAAAGGTATTCCATTTTCACAGGTTTTACTGTTGTTCCATAAAGTTATACTTTATTGCATTCTATAAAAATTATCTGATTTTTTGAACTTTTCAGCTTTCTGAGATTGTTCAGGAAAATGCCATACTCAAAGGCAAAATGGTCACCCTCCAAGAAGCCCTCCAAAACACTGAACTGGAGACGAAAGCTAGTCGGGAAACCATAATGAGGCTTGTGTCAGAAGTCGGCCGTGAACAAAAAACTTACAAACATATCAACTCTGATGTCACCAATATGAGAGTGGAACTTGATAATGCATTGGCGTCCCGAATTGACCTAGAACGGGAAATTGAAGCACTGAATGAACGACTTGAAGCAAGTCAAAGAGCATGGCGCAACGCTAGAGATCAACTCGAAAATCGAGATCTAAATATGTCTACACTAGATCGAGAGATCAAAGAAAAAGACTACAGGGCTCGTGATGCTTTCACACAGTTGACGTCCCTGAAGGAATCTCTGGTGTCCATATTGGGTGATCGTTATGGACATGGGCATGGGGCCCCATGTGAAGATGTAATTAAAGATAGAATCAGGAGTCTTGTTACATCAGCAAGAGATAAAGATGCTGTAAGTTTTTTTCAATTTATTTGAATATATACTTTTAGAAATATGCAAAACCCATTGTTACACACCGAAACACCGTAAGATCAAATGATTATGATTTTACATTTAAACAGATGTTAACTTTCTCAATAAATCCTTTAATATCAGCCTTGTTTTATGAAGTTCAAATATTCATAGGCTTTCAGTGTATAAAACCTGTTTGAATTTCAGAACATCGACATGCTAGAGCAAAAGGTCCGTAACTTAACAGAACAATTGGAGAGACAGATTGAAATGCAGAGATCAGCGGAACGTAAAATCCGTCAAGCCCACAATGATGCTGCAGATATGGAAGACAGACTCCATCATGCAGAGAATGATATTGCAGCGACAGATGCACTCAAGGATGGGTTGAGAACTGACAAACATAGGGTATGAGACAAACTAATGTTATGTTTTGAAATATACAGTGATCTTCCCAGGATTTTTTCTCAAGTGGGTGCAAAATTCTAATTTTAACAATTTGGACCAAAATTGGTCAAAATATGCCAATTTTTCATGATTTTTCTCATTTTCAAGTAGAAGTGGGTGCAAATGGATTTTCAGGTTGGTGCAAGGCTGTTCTCAAAATCTGTTGGGTGCTGCGCCCATTTGCTTTAATGCTGGGGAGACCACTGATATAGTTCAACCATATATAGTGGTTTTATTACTAGAAAAGGCAGAACAAATGAAACAACAGACAGAATAAGAGGAAGAATCTTCCAATGGAAATAATAATTCCATACAGTAACTAGATTCCTCAAAACAAATGGCATTTTTGTTTAAGTGAAAAAATCACCTTTAACGTTGTATGTAACTACATTGTGTGCTCAACACATATTTTGATGAATATTTTCTTCATTAAAATTAAAATCTAAGTCTCTCCCTTTGTTCTTATAGTACTTGAAATTCATGGAGAGAGTTGCGAGTGCAATGAAAGTGGACACAATCTCAGCCGATGTTGGTTTTGACATGAGCGGTGATGCAATCATCGCCAGGGCAGAACAGCTTCAGCGCATGGAGATGGATGCCCTTGCAGACAAAACCACGCATGTGTATAACCTACAGAGGAAGATCAAGAGCTTCAAAGATCAACTTGAGAGCAAAGACCTACATAACGATCTTCTACGCAAGAAAATTCAATTCTGAAATCCTTAAACCTTAGAATCACAAGTATGAGAAAATGTTGTTGGATTTCCATACAGTTTAGATTATTAACTACATGCATGTGTATTTCATTCCTTGCTGATTCCAATCTTTTATACTATATTTTGCATAATGGTGTCTCCATCATTTTCTCTACCCTTTTCCATAATGATTTCAGATTGAAACTCTTGAGGCTAGCAAAGAAATTGAAACCCTTGAAGAGAAAGTTCTGAGGCTTGAGAGAGTACGGCAAAAACAGGCGAAGAAAATCCATAATCTCAAACAAGATATCGACATGGTTGAAGGAGAGAAAGTTGGTACCAGCCAAACAGCAGACTATACGATTGGTCAGTTGAGCAGTGAGCTCGCAACAACCAAGGCAGCTCTTGACGAGATTACAAAACGGGAGAGAGAGGTATGGGATTCAAAGTTTTTATGATAGTTATTGTCTCCAACATTTTTGTGGATGGTGTTCGGCAGCGGGCACTCGGCAGTCAGTGTTTGGCTGTGTCTGTAGCAAATGGCAGGTGGTGAGATTTTGCATGTTAATGCCTTGTTGTACAAGAGGCATTAAAGATTACCATTTACTTCCTTATTGGATTAAAATGTAGATGTTATTATAATGAAATTGCGTTCTATTTCAGCTACTTGATATGAGATCTGTGATAGCACGTATGCTTGGCTTAGAAGTTAATTCCCTTGCGGTGCCTGACTATGAAATCATCTCACGACTTGAGAAACTTGTTTTGGCCAATAAAACCCATGCCTTTACAACGTTGACTCTAGATAGCGCTCTTGAGGATATGGAAGATGGATTTAAGTCTGGATACGTAGAAGCAACAAGGACATTGGGAACTAGGAGTAGGAGTCCCAGCCCACATAGATCGAGAACACGGACAAGGTCAATGTCGCCTACACGGCGGCGAGACCCGAGGCAATATTAAGACAAAATCAATATTTGTGTAAATTCTGTAAATATGTGAATATTTGCTATAAACTTTAAATATATATGTGAATATGTATTATAGTTGTAATACATCTTGCAATATTGTGATATATCTTTATGCTTTTATGCAGTTTTCTGCAGCAGATAAAAAATGAGATTTTTGTTCATAACTGTACTGTACATAACATATAGTTAGTAGACTGGGAGATGGACTGAACTGTGACCAAATAGATAACTTTGCAAACCATTCTTAAAATTGTGGTATTTATTGTTATATTATCACACTTATACTTTTTGATAGAACTATAGTTTAGATGTTTCTACTAGAAATGTGAATTTGTAAATATTGTCAGTTTCAAAATTAATATAGTTTCAAAAGGGTAAAAAATCAGAGAATATAAATTAAATCAATTGTAACTAGTCTAAATATTAGTCCTACTTATTTTTACAATCATGCGTTTTATATTTCAAAGATAATCTGAAAAAAGAATGACACATTGTACTAAAAGAGGTGCTTGTTTGATGTAATGTAGTACCATGTGTTATGTTTAAATATATTGAAATCAAATCAGATTATAAGTACATGTAATATATAGTTCCATGTCCCGATATCTCCCCCTCCCATTTTTACCATAAGTGTGGGGAATGAAATGCAAGATAGTAAGACAAAGAGAGAAGGGCAGAAACTTGATGTGAAGATTATATTCTTGATTCGACGTACGTGTTGCATATTTGGTTTGCTCTACAGTTATAATTCTTATGCCAAAGATCACTATTATGGAAAACTGACATATGACCTTTTCTCTAGTAAACAAATGCTTACAATCGTACAATGTATTTATACAATATACCATATGGTATATTGTAATGAAATACCATATGGTATATTGTAATGAAATACCATATGGTATATTGTAATGAAATACCATATGGTATATTGTAATGAAATATAGGTGTTTTATACAGCAAAGATGCATTTCCATTTAAATGAATTATAATCTATAAATGTTTTCAACATTCCATGTAGAAACTGTTTTTGTTATGAATATTGGCAAAATATTTCCTTACTTATTTTTTTTGAAGTACATGTCCTCAAAATGATACATAATACATACGTGAAGCAAGTCTTGTATAGTTATTTAAAATTGGTTAATGTTATGACATACATATTGTCATTTGGGTTTTCATTCTAGAAATCCAATGTTATCTGTTGAATATTTTGTGTAAATAAATATTCCCATGACTTTTAGAGTACAAGAACAAACCAGAGCTTTTGTTGATACTTTCTTTAAATACATGTACAGTACATCAGGCCCGTAGCCAGGATTTACCGGAGGGGGGGGGGGGCGTTTTACCAAGGGGGAGTTTTTTCCAAGGGGTTGGGAGCTTTTTGACAGTTTTGTCAAAAAAAACATGCGAAAAGTGCTCAGAATGGTGAAAAACTGCATGCTTTTAAAATAATTTCTAGCCGGGGGGGGGGGGGGGGGCGGCTGCGACATGTCATCAATGTTGCCTAGTTTAGGTCAACTTTAACTATGGGCAGAATCAGACAAAATTGCAAGTAACATGTACAATTAACATACCGATCTATGATCATATGATCTCGAATATAATATCTCCTGATATGATGATATGGTGGAGTTAAATTAACGGCTCCATACAAAGTATGAACCACTTTGGCGCATGCCCAATGTTATCAAAATTCGGTACGTGAAACCTTTTTTTTATTATTTCAAAAAGTGGTTTTTGAAGGACTTCATGTTAAAAAAAATCATGAATTTATTTAAGGTTGGTGTGTATGTTCGGATGCAATCATTAATAGTCACATGTTATTTTTCAAATATCAATCACCAGATCACTCCTTCCTCAGATTGTCTACATCTTTCAGTTTTGCACAAAGAGTGCACTAATGTACCTAGAAAAGAGTGTAAAGAATATTTTTTCATTAAATGTATAAAAAACGAGAAAATGGCAGAATTTGAAAATAAATTAAACCTTTTTTTCACCGACATAATTAGGGAACACATGTGTCCGGTTTTATAATCATTTAAAAATATGTCATATACAGTATTTGCCTGATGTGCTTAAACTGCAATACTTGGTCACTTCTATCGCATTTAAGTACCTTAAATTTTAAGGCTCTTTATATTTTTCATCACCACAAATACTGTTTTAGCTAAGCCAATGAGGTGTGTATTAATGATTATCTTTCTTGTTATCTCAAAATTTGCTTGGAACTATACCATTGGATTACTATGGGAAATTCCTCTAAGAGAAAATTCTTGGGATTAAGAAAGGGGTACCATTTACACAATTTGAGAAATTATTGGCATACATGAAACCTATTTAAAACAATATTAATATTATTCAAAAGTGATCGTAATAACGATTCCCAGCCCTCTATAGTTTGAAAAATAACAATGCCCGGATGTTAATCCATAGACAATCCTTGAAAATGAGAAATATTTTTTTTAGTCAATAAAATGTTTAAAAGTGTATTGATGTTTTTTAGATGAAAAACACAAGCGAAATGCATGAAAAAGCTCCCCAGATTCATTCTTAAGACTCTAGCAAAATTAGTTATCAAAATGCTAAAGTACCTTAGAATTTAAGGCCCTTTAGCCAAAAATGCTACAGAACAATCAAAATTTAAGGCTCTCTAGCAAATTTTGTGACCAAAATGCTTAAGAACCTTAAAATTTAAGGCCCTTTACAGTGAAAACAAATAAGTGTTAAAAATTGGCATTTTTTCATGTAATTGTACATAGCTGAAACTAAAAGTATTTTTGCTCATCATTTAATGAATTCTAAAATATAATGCCCTTATCTGAACTACGTCAGCATACTTTTTGATCTTGTTCCGATTGTAAGTAGCTTTGATATCTGGCTCCAAAATTGTGAATTTCGTGAAATTGTCAATGTAACAGGACAACACGCTTTTGAAAACATGTCATATCTCAATCATAAATGGTCGCATCTTTTAATTTTGATTATGCTGGCATAGAGAACATTCATTCAGAGTGTGATGAGAGCATTGTATTTGGTCTCCACCTATTACCGATTATATAGACCCAAGAAAGTAAATGTAAAATTTATTCTGTGAAAATCGACATGGTCGTTAAAACACACCCACACGACATCAGGGGAATCCGAGAAAAATAAAATATATGTGGTTAGCAAGTCCTTGATTCAGTTTATCAGACCACCATGTTCCAAATCGTGATAATAATTGTGATTGAATTATAATAAGCATGATCTGAACATTTCTGAGAATTCACCATTTTTCTTGTGTAAAGATGGACACTATCTAAGAAAACAATACATCCACTCTGTTTTAACGAAAATATTTTACGAAATAACCAGCTCGACCCCATCTATGAGCGAATATGGTGTGAAACTGTGACAATCGACATGCGTGAAAATCGACATGGACTCAAAGCAGTAAATTAGTCATTTGTATAACTCACAGATGGATTGATTTGATTTTATATGATTACCAATACTCTGATAACACATGTATAACAATTTTCCGGTAATTACGAATGAAGATCAATTGATAGACAACAAAAGATAACAGTTAAAAGAGTTTTCTCTTTTTTCAGCGTGCCTTTTCAATTTTAGACGTCTTTACAAAAATACGTTACATGCATGGAGATGACAAGTTATTTGGAACTTCCATAAGCATAATTTACCGAAAGATATTTACTACAAAAATCACTACGAAGACCATTATAGCCCAAAATGTGTTAACCTCTGTGAATGGCGTTTCGCTCAGTGCATTCCCGGGGATTGCTGACTTCAATCATAAAGTCTATTAAAACGTTTGAGTTCAGTTTCCTTTTCAATGAATGCATGATTTTGAATGGTGAACAGCATAAACCGGCATCTCTTATTTGTAACATGAACGATTTTATAGCTTTTCAACGATGTTTATTTGCTTATTATTTTTTAATTTCATTATTACGATCTGATCTCCTAGATACATTATTACGATCTGATGTATAAGATTCAGTGTGCCTTCGTCAAACGTAATTCGTTGCAAAACATGATACAGAGAAAACAAAAAGTAATTAACGTCCGAGAACAAAAAAATCAAAAAGTCAAGACAAGCGGTGATTAAAATTATGTTCCTCATTGAAAAATATCGAACTACTATTTTAGAAACATAAAGCACAAGATGCACATGCGACGATAGAGGCAACAAAAGCGAGATGAATTCTTCCCCTCTTCGAAAAATAAAACCGGGGGTATACCACTAAAAATATATAGACTTCAAGAGCTTCAAAGAAAAACAAAACATCAGACGGAACAAGTTTAACGAAAGTTATGAGATGCGAAATGAGAAATCCGGAAAGGGATCGAGTCTGATAAGAAATAATTTGTTTCTCTAAAGCGGCCACCAAAGCATAGTTATGAAAACACTTCAAGTGGTCATGGAAAAGGGCTCTTGTGATAAGAACTTGGAGACAGAGGAGGGGTTCATCGGCGAAGCACTCCGCAGATAATCACGGTGAGCAACCATACCGCACCGGGGATCGACCCCGGTGCGTTACACTTAAATTGTAACGCTCCGGAGTGAAGAAAAATGGCGGACAATGATAAATGCATAATGGACGTGAGTAGAAATGTTTGATTTACGATGTTTCGTGATTAGGTACGAAGAACTCCTATGTACCATTCAAAGTACAATATATTAAGGAATGATCCAGATCGATTAGATCAGTGATAACTAGCCTATATAATGCAAACAAGATGTAAAAGCACAAGCAACATTAAAATATTTTGATGTTTTTTATTATTTTTATGAAATATACAGAGTATTCCTAGATTGTGCGAGAATATATTTTATCAACATGATCCTTATGGTTGCATGCAAAATTGTGTCAGTTTAGGAGTTAAATGGTGGTCAGTTTTATGAGATATCACTAAATCTAGTTGTAACGCACCGGTCATATTAGGCCAATATTTGGAAACGCACCGGTGCTTTATTCATTTGTTAATATTACCCTATATTATCGGTCATACTGATAACATAAGAACAATAATATTTCCAGATGTTCGGTATCGTACCTCTAGATCCCCCCCTGGATGATGTACTGGTAGGTGGAAACACTTCGAATACGACGCCACCACCGCCTCAATTGAGCATAATGACACCTATGACCCCAGTAAAATTCACGGTTGAGGGTACCGGCTGTATAAGAACGGACACACACGAAATGTTATCAAAGTCACTGGTCAGTATCAAGATGCGGTAACGGCCGTTACCTTCTCATCTAAGATGGCGGATGGTAAATGTCGATTTCGATATATTTTGTTTTCATCGAATTAAACTACTTTATAGTTGACGTAATGGTTTGATATTTGAACTTGATAAATCTAAGATATCATGGAAACTTAGGAGTATGACCATTTATTCTTAAATCATACGTGGACGCCATAATTCAACTGTATGTTACACCGCTTAAGGGAAGGTAAATGGAAGTGAATTTTGCAAAATCGAACTCTCAGTTACCTTCCCTTAAGCGGTGTAACATATAATTGAATTATGGCGCCCGTGTATGATTTAAGAATAAATGGTCATACTCCAAAGTTTCCATGATATATAAGGCTTATCAAGTTCAAATATCAAAGCATTGCGTCAATTATACGTAGTTTAAATTTGATGAAAACAAAAAATATCGAAATCGACATTTTTCGTCCGCCATCTTAGATAAGAAGGTAACGGTCGTTACCGCATCTTGATTCTGACCAGTGAAAGTGTCATATCTTTATCGCCTGTAGTATGTATTACCGTATTTTGCAAACTATCACATTTCGTACTTTGATTTTTTTATGCATTTGTGTATTGTATAGGGTGTTTCATAATTACCCTCTCCCATCCAAAACCAATCCTAAATCACATGGGCCTTTAGATTCTCTTAATCTATACATCATCATACAGCTTTTTTAATAATGCACTTATGGGCTAAATATTGGAACGAGTGATCGTTGGGACCATAATTTGTGGATTTATGTTTTGTCGTCACTATCATCCTAATTTGCTGGATTTATGGCTTCTATTTGTACATTGGGTTTAAAGAGAGGGACAATTAATAACATTATTATTCGTATCATTAAGAGCTTAAAAAAGAGCGTAAAAGCTGCAGAGCTTAATCAAAGTTGTTTTAATAAGTCATGAATTGATTGAGCTTTCCTATGATATTATAACACATGGAGGTGCGCCATCTAGGATTGGTGACTGACAGGGGACGGTCATTATGAAATACCTTGTTATGTGAAATGTACTTCCAGAGTGAGGGTTTGCTTCTAAAGCTAACAACCATACCTGTACGTCATGTTTGAGGTGGAACTAAGGGAATACCACCTCACAACCTCCAGGAAAAGAAGCCACGATATGTTATTCATTGGGAATTTGTCTTTCGCGAGGAGTCTTAGTAGCATAATGAATTCGGTGCAAAAACTGTGTCTTCTGAGACACAATATGACATTTGGTAGCATCAGTGTTATGACGTGCACGGACCTGGGGACAATTCGGGAAATACGGGCTAATCTCAGCTTTAAGCGTTAATATCTGCCTTATTTAAAAAGCTAACTATGTGTATTATATATGATTTTGAAGTATTTTTTATTCGCATTTCACTGAAATTATTTTTCCTTGAAAAGTATGATGGGATCTACCATATTTTTTAAGTTAAATGTATTCCGACATCGTTAGATACGCTGTAAGGCGTAACATTTCACGCTTACACGGTTCGTTGAAATCGGAATAACTTTTGAAATACTGATCAGAATTTCACTAAAATTTCACATTTTATTCATTGAAACATGTGCTTTTATGACGTCACAATTGCCTAGCGGCTACAGTTCAAATCGTCTTCTATGAACGCTTTTAAGATTTTCAAAATTGTGTAAGGTTTTGAAGGCGAAGGAGACAAGCAATAAGTTTACCTTTATTTAACCTTCTAATTTAGGTCTGATTTCAAAAAAAATTTAACTGCACAATATTGTCATGGCGAAATTTACAAAACAATAACCGATTTCTTTATTTTTCAAATAATAAGAGAATAAGAGTTGCTTTTAGAGACTTGAAAATGTAACACATCGATTTTTTACCACAAATCCCATACATATCAATTTTTACTAACGCCCCGAGTGGATTTCCTGACCGTTTTTCAAAAATCAAAAACATTTTAGAAATATTGTCCTCGAGATCTTCTTGCTCTGTGAATTTCACCAGGATTGGATAAGAATAAAGCATCTTATTTTTAGGTTGACTAAACTTGACAAAATGTAACGCTTGTCGTTTCTGACGTTATAATGCTGATTGCGCCCTATGCTGCCCATTGTAATTGTCCCCTGTTTCGTGCGACGTGTATGTGTGATTGTTCAAACAATGTTTTTCTAATTTTTGGCTTTTTTCTTTTCTTTGGTGCATTTTTCCTAGCACTTCTGATAGCCTTTGTATTAGCATTGATTGGTGTCTTAAGTGATTTATCGTTAGTTGTGGCTTTTGTACAACCAGCGTCGCTTGTAGTGACGGTAGGTGCAATTTTCAGGCGTTTCTTGTATCTTGAATGCCCAGTTTGCAGTCCAGAACTTCTCCGTCGTTTCCTGTTAAAATAAAACCGGTGCGTTTCTAAATTGTCGGAGATTTGTGTCGGTGCGTTACCCCATCAATTTTGGAAGGTACGTTTCATATAAATAAATGACGCTTATACAATGTTCGAATTGTAAGATATTGAAGAATAGTATGTTTATAAATATATCTATATTGAGTAAAAAAATCTGTGGTTGTTCCAATCATTTCTTTGACAAGAAATACAACATTTTAGACGAGCCTTTAACTTTCCTTCGAATTTTTCAAGGTGCATTTACATTTCGTTCACATAATACCGATATGTTACAGCTTTGTGGAATTTTAATAAGGTACCCTGATATATCGTGTTTAGAATGGAATGTGTTAAAAGATATTCACTCACCTCTGGTTCCCACTATTATTTGTTTCCTCCGGAGGAAACACATTTCCGTCCGTCATTTTAAAAGGACGGTGCGTTACCAACGCTCCGGGGAAAAGTGTAACGCACCGGGGTCGATCCCCGGTGCGGTATGGTTGCTCACCGTGATAATGGTGTCAAGAGAAACGTGTCTACACCAGTGCAGATGATTTTTTATGATTGAACTATACGCCAGCCATAAAAGACTTGACTGAGTTGTCTCGACATCAATATCATATGTTACAATTGATAAGTACACTCGAGTAGAATGAGGATCGACATCTTGATTTAAAATATGTTAAAGGGACATTTCAGATCTAGATATCAAGAATGATGCTGTTTGTACTCCAATATGACGTAAATGGTTGTCCTGTTGTTGTGATACATGCAGGAAAAGCGTCACTACGTCAACCTGCAACTGGTCTAAGCATTCATTAAAAGCTAAACCCAAAGGAAAAATTACTCAAATTATATTGTAAAAACAAGTCAAGGTACCATATCTGGTATATGAGATAAAAGGGAAAACATATGCCACGGGTGTCAAAAAATTATTTTGGCGACATGGCATCTGTCATCCCATTGTCATTCAATCTAAAAAATGTAATATCCTGGTTTCATGAATCAGTGCAATGTTTTGGTACAGTTGGTGTGAAAAGAATGCAGAAAAGATGTGTTCACTGCACATTAACTTTGCTTGTTAACTTTGCACATTAACTTTGCTCGTATATGGTTTCATGGACGTAATACGTACATGTACTAAAATTTTCTTTCACGATATTTTAGAATAAAATGTGAAACACGACAAGATTCTGCAAATCATGATTTATGTCAGGTTTTGACGGGAAATTTTACATAAACGTGGTCATATTTGGATACAAATACAAACTGGATGTTTCTAAATTTAGCTAGTTATATCCTACATATCAGAAATGTCGATTCGTGAAGTAAGCGTTCCCTAAAGTGAACTTTCTAACTCATTGTCATTTGTTTATTTTGTCTTGTGAAAATCGACATGCGGATGAATAGTGAACAAGCCTAATAATAGATTCTTCCCAAATAAAACTGTTATCATTTTCTTATCGTCTTTAGCATCATTTTTCATAATCGCATCGATTCATGTTTCAATAGAGTCGACCCTTTCAATTTTATTCAAATGAAAAACAAAAAGTAAGTAAAAAATCGAGAAAAATGATAGATTTCATTGGTTCATGTTGACAAGTGATGCACATCAAAAAGAAAAAGCATGTAGTCCAAATCCATCTGCGACTTTAAAGGACATTTAAGTACCATGAGGAACGTTCTTGTTTTTTTGAAAATGTTGCATTCTAATTTGAATGGCTTGACATATTAATCAAGGGGTCAAGATGTGAAAATCGACATGTTTGAGACGGACCCTAATTTCAATTTGAAAATTCGCCTATTCTTCCTTGGAGTTTACTTCAATGCCTTTGGTAACGAATGTACAAATGTATACAGATATATACTACAGGGTGGGCCAAAAAAAATTGCAACTTTTTTAGAAGGCAAAAAAAGTATCATAACATTATGATATTGACATGAAATTTTTTTTACAGAAACTTAGGGATAGGCATATTTTACCATTCAAATACTTAAGCTAATACTGACTTCACATTTTTTTTGTCAGATGTTTGAATATTAATGGTAAATTGTTCATGTGTCCGAGATTTACCGATTTTCCTAGAAAATGTGATTTTCTATAATTTTATGTGATCATCGATAGAACATTTATTATGTTCACTAAATCTGCTGCAATCTTTGTTAAGAGGTGTATTGAGCGGCTATTCATCAGGACTAATGAATCAAGGGTATTTTGCTCCAGATATTCCATAGTGACTTTTGCCCTATGGTCAGGAGCTAGCGCTATCCTGCTGGAATAAGTTATCACCTGGGGCTGAAAGAGCCCTCATTCTTGAAAGATGTCCCTTTTGAAGAATATTAGTCTTGAGTCGAATAGCCATCCAATACACCAGATGCCAACCCCTTGGACTATTACACATGGGGACACCTGGAGCAAAGTATTGTATTTACTAGTAATTGTTATACCCCACAAATTATTGAACAACTATAAGAAATTCTGCAGGATAAGTGGAGAGAACTACCACAAGTACTGCTGGATCTCGCCAATGACCAGTTCGGTTCTCGTCTCCATGTGATTGTGAAGGTGAAAGGCGGATGCATAGAGCATTTGTTTAATACATAATTAATACAGTGTAACAATATTACCATAGTGACTAGATACTGATATAAACCTGTTATAGCCATTGGTTAAACAGTTATCAAAGATTGTAGCAGATTTAGTAAACATTATGAATGTGTTATTGTTGATCACATAAAATCATAGAGTCACATTTTCTAGGAAAAATTGGAAATCTTGGACACATGAACAATTTACCATTAATATTCAAACATCTGACAAAAAATGTGAAGTCAGTATTAGCTTAAGTATTTGAATGGTAAAATATGCCTATCCCTAAGTTTCTGTAAAAAAAATTTCATGTCAATACCATAATGTTATGATACTTTTTTTGCCTTCTAAAAAAGTTGGAAATTTTTTTGGCCCACCCTGTATATGTCTTTTTGAAAAAAAACATTTTAGAATTTTTTTCACTTTTTAACAAAATTAATTTCACACTTAAGCGGTTTTGAGTGTTTAGTCAAAATGTTCTATGGCCAAGGCCAAGGCCAATTTGGTTCTCTAGGACGTATCAGGAATTTCATCTCTTTGAATGAATACCAGCCATTGTGAAGATCCTTGTTTGCTTTCCGCTCAGCTTCACTGAAAAGCTCCCCTGGCCAACCCAACCAGCTCATGCATCCATACTCTATGTCACATTTTGATTCATTCATATATCGTCCAAATGGGTTGGTAAATCCACAGTAATCTTGGTCCTCCATATCCACACCTCTTTCATTATAGATTTCAGAACCTCTTTCTGGTCTGTACCACCACCAGGCACCTCTGCGTAATGCAGAACAGTTTGTCATAGCATACTCATACTCATTATCCCAAGTAGAAAACGGGTTGTCGTCAACCTGACCCTGACTATAATGGTAATGATGGGAACTTGACATAACATCTTTTCCAGAACCTCGAAAATCCTCAAGTCGAATGGCAGTTTCACGTTGTGTCAAGCCAAGTCGAAATACGTAGTATTCTGCAGTCTCAGATCGCCCATCCCATGTTGTGAACTCCAATCTTAGCACATAATTTCTATCTCCAGTAAACAAAGATAATAAATTATTAAGGCCAATAAAGTACTCTCCCGATGGATCACCGAAACCAGTTTTATATTCAGCCCAAGTACGATAAAAATCGACACTCCCATCAAATCTGTGAGCGACCATGAGCCAGTTTTCCTCACACTTTGCTTTAAATGACGATCCACCCAGGGGATGTATATCATTGATCCCACTTTTTCGTTCACCACACGGCGTCTCAACAAGTTTTATCATCATTTTCATGTCCTTGAATTTGAATTGTCCAAAGATATATGATGGCCATGTTGTGTCACATTTGTCTGCAGAATGAGAATGCCAGAATGGTCCGCCTGTTTGCTGCACACATGATATATCATGGTTATTATCATTATCCCAAGTAGAGAACCTTGTATTAGGCATATAGGCAAAACTTCCATTTCTTCTGTTCTCCAAGAAATCATGAACCGAAAATCGAAAACGATCGTGTTCATCTGAGATAGTGAAGCCATCATTCTCCAAATAAATCATTATACCACTATTATTTATCATTTCAAAACGGACCATGAATGTATTTCTAAGTGTCAATCTAAACAGAGCTTGAAGACCTATGAAGAACTCTCCAGAGATGTTACCAAATCCGGCTTTATATTCATTCCATGTGCGATTGAAATCAATGCTTCCGTCAAACCTGTGAGCAACAACCAACCACTGTCCTTCACATTTGGCAAGAAGCTTTTTATCGTTATCACCTCTTTTAGCAGCGTTAAATTCAATATCAACCCCTTTTATACATTTTGGAGGGGCTTCAATAGGCAGTGGACGTATCATTATTCTCATAGCTTTAAATGAATAAAACTTATTATCCTTTTCATTTAGAAGTTGGTCTGGCCATGCTTGCCAGCTCATACAGTCCATTGCTTTATCACATTCAGGTCCATGGTTATATCGTCCAAATAGGTTAGCTTTACCACAATAACCCCACCACCATCCTATCTCCTCCTTAAAGCATTTCCCAGTATTCGTAAATCCGACATACATGTACTTTCCGTCAATATAATCATATTTCACTCTATAGTTAAGGGAATTTCCAGCTGTGCCTCGAAAATTCCTTGTTCTTAAACTATACCATGAAGGTGAATAGTAATATACATCGGCATAATCTAAAGGAGTGGCATCAAACCTCAAGTAATCGGCCGTTCTGGTTTCATTTTCCCATGTTGTCAACTCAAAACGCAACATATATATATCTTGTGAAGCCGCAGAGACAAAATTATCAAGTCCAATGAAGTACTCTGACGGGGGATCACCAAAGCCAATACTGTAATCTTCAAAATACCTCGTGAAGTTTACACTTCCATCAAACCTTTGAGCCACAACAAGCCATTCCGCATCACACACTGCTAAGAAACTCGCACCGTCATCAGTCCTTATAAGATTAACACCTTTAGACTCTGCATTGCAGTTGTTAGACCCTGTAATTACACAATCAAAATACTATTTGTAAAGAAATTGTTAAGACATTTGTGATGCGAACAAAAAAAAATCCTAGACATCATTGATTCAATAGGAAATGGACTCAATTTTATAGGCATACTAAATACTCGTAATAGTGATAATATGATAAAATCATAAGATGTGTGATAACAGTAAACTTTAACATACCCATGTTCTCTATTCCATCAGGGATCATCAACTGTAGGATAACCTTGACGATCCAGTTTGTCAATTTCCGAAACTTTTTGGTCACCTTATAGAATTGGCTCAAATTTTGTTTAAGTATTTTAGCCTCTTTCATTTGTTTTAAATCTGGAGTGATTTTGAACATTTTGTTCAAGCGTTTTCTATAGTCTTTTGTAATTTTAAGACCTTTTAGCAAATCATCATTTATGTAAGTAACCCCCTCTCTTTCTGCCAAATACGCTATAATTTGAAAATCAATAAGCCAACTGATAGAATCGAATGTTTCACCTGCGTCTTCAATCATAGTTTCTATAAAATTGTAGGAAGCATCCAAAAGCTGAATTCTCAATGTTTCCCATTCTTCCAATTGTTCCCAAAACGGGCTCAGACGTTTGCCAATTCTATTCGTATTTGTAATTAACTTTTCAACTACGTGCTCATCTTTATCTGTACCAAGAATCTTAGTGATATATTTTTTGGCAACCTTTGTAGTGGCTTCAAGAAGGGGTTGGATATTTTTTGGTCTAACCTGAAGAAACATCTCAGTCAGTTTGTACTTGTTGAGATACTTTATCTTGTTGATACCTTCTTCTTTACACCTAACTTCTGTCCCATTAAGGAGAAATACCAAGGAACATATCAGTCCACAAAACAGGCCTGAAAATATCATTGCATCTTTAATCCTTCCAAACTGAAATTTTGGACAGATCGTATTTTGGATACAAAGAACAATGGAACAAATCAATAGACCCGACACACAGATAAATGAATAAACACAAGGAGCACACGCGTCTCGCAACCTCGTGGTTACGGCGCCCAATCGCCTAGACTGAACGTGCTGGTGCTCAAGCCCTCTCGGCCAACTCGACAACCCCAAAAAAGGTTGTTTTGTTAGTCGATCTGCAGCTGATTTTAACGCTCGAACACACCAGAGGAAGCACAACGGACATTTTCTACACACACACATACACTGCTCAACTGTCCTTAAGAACCCAGAGCGGGTTAATACCTCTGCAACTGAAAGCTCAGACAGTGATCATAAATGAATAAACACAAGGAGCACACGCGTTTTGAGACTAAAACTGATTGACAGATGCTATCAAGTATCAACTAATACCTGGCACAAACGCTATGAAGGTCTCGTTGCACAGCTCTGATATTGGATTTTTTGACATGCATTTTTTTAATTTGTCATTCTCACATAATTGATCTCTTTTTCTACCACTTGGTAAGGATACCATTAGGCTACTCTTTAGAAATTTTCAATGAAATTGATCAATCATGAGTGCAGAGAAAATAATTGTCAAAAAGCAGCTCACTTTTTTGTGACACCCGATATATGTGACCAATGTTTTTTTCTCATCATTGCAATAAGAAAGGCCAAATTTGCAATGCAAAGCCTTTGGCATTGCTGAATCATAGGTCATATATTAGCCATAAATCATATAATTGAATATGATAAACAACACAGAAAAAATCTATTTCCATTTAGTGTTCTATACTGTAAGCAATCATCTACGATGCCACATTATAGATCATGAATTGCTGAATGAATTGCTCTAGTTAGTTATACATCAAATATCATTATATTTATAGTAATAAATAAATACTTAATGTACGGAATACCAGAAATATAGCATTACTCACCAAGTGGACCCATCTTGCAATTCACGAAGCCACGAATTAGAAGAGCTAATTAGAAGAGCTGTTGTTGACTCAAAGTAAGGCGCATATAACTCGTTTTCCAGAAACAACAAACGCATAATTAAAAATTAAAGGCTCTACACATGTTGATGATATAATATATCTACATTATCTCGGAATAGCTTCACTTTGGTTTTTCAATCTCTCTGAATACATAAAAATTCCCTATGAGAGGATTTTGACGTGGAAGTTACATGTAGTTATTAACCATTCCATCACCAGTGGGTTAATTCATGGTTCATGTGCTCTAATAAATGATGATTTAGGCCTACCGAAAGGTGTTCTGGATGGCAATGATGATATTGGAAGGCGTTAACATACAAAACATCACCTAACATTTGTTACAGACGTCGAACGACACCACAGAAAACCGTCCACAAAAAGTGAGAGACCATTTAACAATATTTAAAAGCATACCACAAGCAGATATCACAAAATAAAGTTTACAACACCCACTAACATTTTATCGCCCATGGACACTTTAATGGTGGATTTTGTTGGGAGTATCTCAAGTATGCAATGTTACAAAGGGCCTTTAAGGAAACCGCAAGTTACTAATTATTGACATAAAAATGTGTTCGTTATAAATGAAGCAATATAAATTCAAATCATCGTTGTCATTGCCTTTTTATAAAGGTTTGTGGTCTGTTGATATTAGTTGACATTTGTTCAGCCTATTGTGGAAATATAAAAATTCATCCTCACATTTATCGACGTGAAAGTGTTTGTGGTTTGATGAATTTGTTGGCAATTTTCTAATTTGGAAATACAGAAATTTAATCTTGAATTTATAGAATCGTCATTTACACCTAAGTACCAAATGACAAACAAATGATCTTTTCTCCATAAACACTTTGTCCGCGTAACAAATAAGCTATTTTACAGTTTTGAATGGAACAAATCGAATAGTTTGAATATAACTTTGAGATTTTTTAATTTAGCTTGTTATTTCTGATATACAGGATGACCCCAAAAAGCAACCCTCCATTTCTTGAATAAGTTTCTTAAATGGAGGTTGGTAGATCTTAAATTTGGCACACAAAGCATTCATTCAATGTGGGATCCTCTAGGAACTTACATCGGTATTGATAGAGTTATAGTCGTTCCAAAATTTGGGTCAACCTTATTTAAATTTCCCACCGTTTTTCAGATAAGTCATTCGTCGACTCGTTTGAAGCGGTTGAGTCTTGGTTCTTTTATTTATTGTCTTGCAATGCAGAGTCCAAAGTCTTGTTTTTTTAAACTATAGTAAAAGTTTCTTGACCAAATAAGAAATTTAATTTTTCATGACCACATATATCTTATTTTCCTTTTGTAATATAAATCTATGACATAATTGCATGTACATGTTACCAATGTTGCTTAGTTTTCGTCCACTTTAACTACGTACAGGTAGAACCAAATCTTCAGAGGGTGACAAAATTGCAAGTAACATGTACAATGGACATACCAAGATCTCAAATAGAATATTTCCCAAAAGATCCATGATATGTTATAAATTGGTGAAGTTACTAAAGGCACCATACATGCAAATTGCAGAAATGTTAAAGTTAGTTTTTTGGTCAAAGTAGGTTGTAAAATCACTAAAGATAAGTCATGAATCTTATATCATAAATGTGTTTTAAATCAACTTGTTTACCTGAAAATAAAATGTGGTCACAGCTTTTCTGAACATGCAGATGTACCCGAATGGTGTCTTATTCATAATGTAATAAATGAAATCATTGTGGTATGTATGTGGAGTCTATTTCCCTTATAATAATACATTTACTTTAGTACATGGATTCTCTCCTAATATTATTTCCTTATAAATATCCAAACTTTAATCAAAAGCACTTTCAAAATTATTGTATATTGTATTTCACCTAAAATATCGTATATGGTATAAGAGCTGTGAAAAATATTGTATATGGTATAAAAGGGGTGAAAAAATATTGTATATGGTATAAGAGAGCTGAAAAATATTGTATATGCATTTCCAAGACCCTCTATACACCCCCCACATATAGTTTACATGCTTCTATAAAGAGTTCAGTAAAAGCTTTCAAGTAGAACACCTCTCTAAGTGTTACATCTCTGTAATGGAAACATTATTAACAGTACCATGGCTGATTGACTTAATGTTGAATAAACCCCTTAACTGGAACACCTCCCATGAGGAATACTTTTTAGAGGTGCCAAAGGTATTCCATTTTCACAGGATTTACTGTTGTTCCATAAAGTTATACTTTATTGCATTCTATAAAAATTATCTGATTTTTTGAACTTTTCAGCTTTCTGAGATTGTTCAGGAAAATGCCATACTCAAAGGCAAAATGGTCACCCTCCAAGAAGCCCTCCAAAACACTGAACTGGAGACGAAAGCTAGTCGGGAAACCATAATGAGGCTTGTGTCAGAAGTCGGCCGTGAACAAAAAACTTACAAACATATCAACTCTGATGTCACCAATATGAGAGTGGAACTTGATAATGCATTGGCGTCCCGAATTGACCTAGAACGGGAAATTGAAGCACTGAATGAACGACTTGAAGCAAATATGTCTACACTAGATCGAGAGATCAAAGAAAAAGACTACAGGGCTCGTGATGCTTTCACACAGTTGACGTCCCTGAAGGAATCTCTGGTGTCCATATTGGGTGATCGTTATGGACATGGGCATGGGGCCCCATGTGAAGATGTAATTAAAGATAGAATCAGGAGTCTTGTTACATCAGCAAGAGATAAAGATGCTGTAAGTTTTTTTCAATTTATTTGAATATATACTTTTAGAAATATGCAAAACCCATTGTTACACACCGAAACACCGTAAGATCAAATGATTATGATTTTACATTTAAACAGATGTTAACTTTCTCAATAAATCCTTTAATATCAGCCTTGTTTTATGAAGTTCAAATATTCATAGGCTTTCAGTGTATAAAACCTGTTTGAATTTCAGAACATCGACATGCTAGAGCAAAAGGTCCGTAACTTAACAGAACAATTGGAGAGACAGATTGAAATGCAGAGATCAGCGGAACGTAAAATCCGTCAAGCCCAAAATGATGCTGCAGATATGGAAGACAGACTCCATCATGCAGAGAATGATATTGCAGCGACAGATGCACTCAAGGATGGGTTGAGAACTGACAAACATAGGGTATGAGACAAACTAATGTTATGTTTTGAAATATACAGTGATCTTCCCAGGATTTTTTCTCAAGTGGGTGCAAAATTCTAATTTTCACAATTTGGACCAAAATTGGTCAAAATATGCCAATTTTTCATGATTTTTCTCATTTTCAAGTAGAAGTGGGTGCAAATGGATTTTCAGGTTGGTGCAAGGCTGTTCTCAAAATCTGTTGGGTGCTGCGCCCATTTGCTTTAATGCTGGGGAGACCACTGATATAGTTCAACCATATATAGTGGTTTTATTACTAGAAAAGGCAGAACAAATGAAACAACAGACAGAATTAGAGGAAGAATCTTCCAATGGAAATAATAATTCCATACAGTAACTAGATTCCTCAAAACAAATGGCATTTTTGTTTAAGTGAAAAAATCACCTTTAACGTTGTATGTAACTACATTGTGTGCTCAACACATATTTTGATGAATATTTTCTTCATTAAAATTAAAATCTAAGTCTCTCCCTTTGTTCTTATAGTACTTGAAATTCATGGAGAGAGTTGCGAGTGCAATGAAAGTCGACACAATCTCAGCTGATGTTGGATTTGACATGAGCGGTGACGCAATCATCGCCAGGGCAGAACAGCTTCAGCGCATGGAGATGGACGCCCTTGCAGACAAAACCACGCATGTGTATAACCTACAGAGGAAGATCAAGAGCTTCAAGGATCAACTTGAGAGCAAAGACCTACATAACGATCTTCTACGCAAGAAAATTCAACAGTTGGAAGAAAGGGTCATGGGACGGTCAGAGCTAGAACGGGAAAAAGATGATGAAAGTCTGCGATCGAGAAAATTGGAGAAACTAGTGGAGAAATACAAAATGCAAATAAATGAACATCGTCAGGAAATTAGGGATCTAAAAGCCAGACTCATGGACAGTATGGGATTCAAAGTTTTTATGATAGTTATAGTCTCCAACATTTTTGTGGATGGTGGTCGGCAGTGGGCATTCGGCAGTCAGTGTTTGGCTGTATCTGTAACAAATGGCAGGTGGTGAGATTGTGCATGTTAATGCCCTTTTATACAAGAGGCATTAAAGATTACCATTTACTTCCATCTTAGATTAAAATGTCGATGTCATTATAATGAAATTGCGTTCTATTTCAGCTACTTGACATGAGATCTGTGATAGCACGTATGCTTGGCTTAGAAGTTAATTCCCTTGCGGTGCCTGACTATGAAATCATCTCACGACTTGAGAAACTTGTTTTGGCCAATAAAACCCATGCCTTTACAACGTTGACTCTAGATAGCGCTCTTGAAGATATGGAAGATGGATTTAAGTCTGGATACGTAGAAGCAACAAGGACATTGGGAACTAGGAGTAGGAGTCCTAGCCCACATAGATCAAGAACAAGGACAAGGTCAATGTCGCCTACACGGCGGCGAGACCCGAGGCAATATTAAGACAAAATCAATATTTGTGTAAATTCTGTAAATATGTGAATATTTGCTATAAACCTCAAGTGTATATGTGAATATGTATTATAGTTGTAATACATCTTGCAATATTGTGATATATCTTTATGCTTTTATGCAGTTTTCTGCAGCAGATAAAAATTGAGAATTTTGTTCATAACTATACTGTACAGTACATATAGTAAGTAGACTGGGAGATGGACTGAACTGTGACCAAATAGATAACTTTGCAAACCATTCTTAAAATTGTGGTATTTATTGTTATATTATCACAGTTATACTTTTTGATAGAACTATAGTTTAGATGTTTCTACTAGAAATGTGAATTTGTAAATATTGTCAGTTTCAAAATTAATATAGTTTCAAAAGCAGGGTAAAAAATCAGAGAATATAAAATAAAATAAATTGTAACTAGTCTAAATATTAGTCCTACTTATTTTTACAATTATGTGTTTTATATTTCAAAGATAATCTGAAAAAAGAATGGCACATTGTACTAAAAGAGGTGCTTGTTTGATGTAGTACCATGTGTTATATTTAAATACCTTGAAATCAAATCAGATTATAAGTACATGTAATATACGAGGGGTGATCAATAAGTAATGGACGCTTTTTTACACAGATACTTTTTATTGACCAATCCCTTTGATTTTCCTACCAGTGATACATAATTCAATTATCTATCAATTCTGAAGATTTGGAGACAAAATATATAATACATGTTGATATATCCTTATTTCCGCGAAGGAGGTACAGGTACCCCGGGACCGACATTTACGTCACATATTCAGTTTTTAGCCAGTTTGGTAAATTTGAGTTAGATTTGAACTTTTTATAATGAAGAAGTGTTGTATTGTTTGAAATTTTTTGCTGACTGGTAACACATTAACAGAAATAATTGTAATGTCAGAGTGTTGTATGGAAGGGGTTTGCAGGTCAATTTGAGAAAGCATTGTGTAAGAAAGGGGTGGTGAGAGAAGGGAACACCCTACTCCATATGGTCAATGCACCTGCCCACAGATCTCAAAATGTTCAGAAAACAATATCCTTGGACCTCAAAATTGAGCCGTTGGCCAATGCACTATATTGTCCCCATCTGCTTACATGTGACTTGTTTAATTCTATACTACTTATTTCTATAGAGAAAGGACGCAGGTTTATTAACATTGATAAATAAAACAACCCATGCAACTGTATCTTGCTACCATGTCAGAGTGGATTCAGCCTTGTCTCACAATCTTGAGTTAAGAGGATGAGGAATTGTGTACATGTAGCACTTGATGGAACCTATTTAGAGGGCCCTGTGGAATAAATATGGCATGAATAGCACATAGTGATGATAAAATATTCAAAATCAACTATGGCATAACAAAATGGGGTAATTCATGACCATAATGGTTTGTTTTGTTCAGCCTGCATTCAACTGCATTGCATGTTAAACAAGCTAAAATAGCTTTAGAATATGTGACGTAAATGTCGGTCCCGGGGTACCCGTACCTCCTTCACGGAAATGAGGATATATCAACATGTATTATATATTTTATCTTCAAATCTTCAGAGTTGATAGATAATTGAATGATGTATCGATGGTAAGAAAATCAAAGGGATTGGTCTATAAAAAGCATCTGTGTAAAAAAGCGTCCATTACTTATTGATCACCCCTCGTATAGTTCCATGTCCCGATATCTCCCCCTCCCGTTTTTACCATAAGTGTGGGGAATGAAATGCAAGATAGTAAGACAAAGAGAGAAGGGCAGAAACTTGATGTGAAGATTATATTCTTGATTCGACGTACGTGTTGCATATTTGGTTGGCTCTACAGTTATAATTCTTATGCCAAAGATCACTATTATGGAAAACTGACATATGACCTTTTCTCTAGTAAACAAATGCTTACAATCGTACAATGTATTTATACCATATACCATATGGTATATTGTAATGAAATACCATATGGTATATTGTAATGAAATACCATATGGTATATTGTGAAATACCATATGGTATATTGTAATGAAATACCATATGGTATATTGTAATGAAATATAGGTGTTTTATACAGCAAAGATGCATTTCCATTTAAATGAATTATAATCTATAAATGTTTTCAACATTCCATGTAGAAACTGAAGTACAGTTTTGAAGTACATGTCCTCAAAATGATACATAATACATACGTGAAGCAAGTCTTGTATAGTTATTTAAAATTGGTTAATGTTATGACATACATATTGTCATTTGGGTTTTCATTCTAGAAATCCAATGTTATCTGTTGAATATATTGTGTAAATAAATATTCCCATGACTTTTAGAGTACAAGAACAAACCAGAGCTTTTGTTGATACCTTCTTTAAATACATGTACAGTACATCAGGCCCGTAGCCAGGATTTACCGGAGGGGGGGGGGCGTTTTACCAAGGGGGAGTTTTTGCCAAGTTTTTTTCAAGGGGTTGGGAGCTTTTTGACAGTTTTGTAAATAAAAACATGCGAAAAGTGCTCAGAATGGTGAAAAACTGCATGCTTTTAAAATAATTTCTAGCCGGGGGGGGGGGGGGGGGGGGGGGGGGCGGCTGCGACATGTCACCAATGTTGCCTAGTTTAGGTCAACTTTAACTATGGGAATCAGACAAAATTGCAAGTAACATGTACAATTAACATACCGATCTATTCCCTATGATCTCGAATATAATATCTCCTGATATGATGATATGGTGGAGTTAAATTAACGGCTCCATACAAAGTATGAACCACTTTGGCGCATGCCCAATGTTATCAAAATTCGGTACGTGAAACCTTTTTTTTATTATTTCAAAAAGTGGTTTTTGAAGGACTTCATGTTAAAAAAATCATGAATTTATTTAAGGTTGGTGTGTATGTTCGGATGCAATCATTAATAGTCACATGTTATTTTTCAAATATCAATCACCAGATCACTCCTTCCTCAGATTGTCTACATCTTTAAGTTTTGCACAAAGAGTGCACTAATGTACCTAGAAAAGAGTGTAAAGAATATTTTTTCATTAAATGTATAAAAAACGAGAAAATGGCAGAATTTGAAAATAAATTAAACCTTTTTTTCACCGACATAATTAGGGAACACATGTGTCCGGTTTTATAATCATTTAAAAATATGTCATATACAGTATTTGCCTGATGTGCTTAAACTGCAATACTTGGTCACTTCTATCGCATTTAAGTACCTTAAATTTTAAGGCTCTTTATATTTTTCATCACCACAAATACTGTTTTAGCTAAGCCAATGAGGTGTGTATTAATGATTATCTTTCTTGTTATCTCAAAATTTGCTTGGAACTATACCATTGGATTACTATGGGAAATTCCTCTAAGAGAAAATTCTTGGGATTAAGAAAGGGGTACCATTTACACAATTTGAGAAATTATTGGCATACATGAAACCTATTTAAAACAGCATTAATATTATTCAAAAGTGATCGTAATAACGATTCCCAGCCCTCTATAGTTTGAAAAATAACAATGCCCGGATGTTAATCCATAGACAATCCTTGAAAATGAGAAATATTTTTTTAGTCAATAAAATGTTTTAAAGTGTATTGATGTTTTTTAGATGAAAAACACAAGCGAAATGCATGAAAAAGCTCCCCAGATTCATTCTAAAGTACCTTAGAATTTAAAGGCCCTTTAGCCAAAAATGCTACAGAACAATCAAAATTTAAGGCTCTCTAGCAAATTTTGTGACCAAAATGCTTAAGAACCTTAAAATTTAAGGCCCTTTACAGTGAAAACAAATAAGTGTTAAAAATTGGCATTTTTTCATGTAATTGTACATAGCTGAAACTAAAAGTATTTTTGCTCATCATTTAATGAATTCTAAAATATAATGCCCTTATCTGAACTACGTCAGCATACTTTTTGATCTTGTTCCGATTGTAAGTAGCTTTGATATCTGGCTCCAAAATTGTGAATTTCGTGAAATTGTCAATGTAACAGGACAACACGCTTTTGAAAACATGTCATATCTCAATAATAAATGGTCGCATCTTTTAATTTTGATTATGCTGGCATAGAGAACATTCATTCAGAGTGTGATGAGAGCATTGTATTTGGTCTCCACCTATTACCGATTATATAGACCCAAGAAAGTAAATGTAAAATTTATTCTGTGAAAATCGACATGGTCGTTAAAACACACCCACACGACATCAGGGGAATCCGAGAAAAATAAAATATATGTGGTTAGCAAGTCCTTGATTCAGTTTATCAGACCACCATGTTCCAAATCGTGATAATAATTGTGATTGAATTATAATAAGCATGATCTGAACATTTCTGAGAAATCACCATTTTTCTTGTGAAAAACGACCAAGATGTAATTCAAACATGGACAGCATTCTTGTGTAAAGATGGACACTATCTAAGAAAACAATACATCCACTCTGTTTTAACGAAAATATTTTACGAAATAACCAGCACGGCCCCATCTATGAGCGAATATGGTGTGAAACTGTGACAATCGACATGCGTGAAAATCGACATGGACTCAAAGCAGTAAATTAGTCATTTGTATAACTCACAGATGGATTGATTTGATTTTATATG